TTCCACTGCTACAGAGTGCCGAATTCTGCTGCAGCTTGCAGCTTTCCAAACACTTTTCCTCGTGGGCAACATCAGTGTGTGCTGTTCTTGTCATACTAATAGTTCTGTTCTCTTGCGTAAACCTGAAGCTCCATTTTCCAGAATTTCCTCTGTGCCCTTTTCTCTGCTCTCATTTAGGCCCACGTAAGTACAGGAAGGAGGCCTTTGAGAGTGGGAATGCTGAGTCTGAAAATACATTTTGAGACAAAGCTGAGGGAAGATCTGAGTCATGGGAGCAAAGCCCTGTCTTCTTTTTTCCCTTCCTTCCCCTAGCAGCTCTTTGGTGGGGCTGCCTTCTCTGCCAGGGAACCTTCCCCCGAGTCATCATAGGCTGGAAAAGAACCCATACAGGTCAAGAGGTCAATTCGGCTTAAATGCTAGATGCCATGCTTCTTTTCCTCACACACAACCAAGTGAGGAAAAAGATGGAGAGCTATCTTCTTAAAATTTAGAACTTTAGAAACTCCAAGAGACTTAGAATTCATTGCATTTAGCTCCTTCACATTAAAGGTGAGGAGGCTGTGATTTCTCTAAGGTCACATAGAGAAGGTAGAACTAGAACATGGTTGCTGAGCTTGTAGCCTAACATTTTAATCTGTCACCCAGAAGCTATTTGGAGGAGACACCAGATCTTTCTCACGCCTCGCTTGAGAGTGGTCAGACCTGCCTGCCAGAGGAGTTTAGGGAGAGCCCTGTGAGCGGGGTTTGCTGCTGGGAAAAAGCAGCAAGCTTCCTCCTCTCTCTGCAGCCAAGGCCATCCTTTGTCTCCTTAGCCCTTGAACTCCAGGTGAGGCCGCTGTATGGCTTGGGTAATGTTCTTGCCAGGCCCTTGTGATATTAAAGGTAGAGCAAGTAAAAGGGGCTCAAGCTGGAGTGGAAACCCCGTTGTGATTTGGTGCCTCCCTCTGAAGGGAGAGTTGGGCTCATCAGGAGCAGGGGGTTGAGGAGGCTAAAGATGGTAAGGAAGTGCCCACGGGAGAGGTCCCTCCTCTGGCCCCTGTTAGCTTCTCTGCTGTGACAATATCAGTAGTAGCTACCCTGACTACAAGGGAACAAGGATTCTGGGGGCTACGGACTAGGGAGAAGGGCAGCCAACTTGATGGTCAGAGCCAGGGTGGAGGTGATGCCCTTCGTCAGGACAGAGCCCATTCCCTACCCACACAGCTCATGAGAGACCTGTGGGAAGGAGGGTGTAGGCTGTCATCCTGAGTATTATAGCTGTCCTCTGATTCCATAGCAGAGGGAGGCCTAAGTGTCTGGAGGCAACGTAGACTGACATTTTAACATTTTCTTCCCTGCCCTGTGCCCCATGTCAGCCCAGAAATGGGTGGAAGTCTCTGGGAGACTGACCAGGTGGTACCTGGGGCCTCTCCCTTCTGTTAGCCACCTGAGGCCCATTCGTGCTCCTGATCTGGGCCCAAGCATACTGAGCTGAGAGTTCTGTTCTTTACCCAGAGCCAACAGTTAGAGCTGTGGAAACCCAAGGGCATAACTGTTTAATCATTTTTATTTTTCTTATGCCCAGAATACTTCCCAGCCAGTCAGTCATAGGCTGACAGACATATTCATGTGTTTCCAGAGGCTCAGGCATGTTGAGGAAGGAGGTGGGTTGGTCTGTAGGTGTTGAACGCTTTCTTAGGAGGTGCTGAATTGGACTTAGGGCCAGAATCATGGCCATGGAGTGTGGAAAGCTTTGCTTTTCCTTCCTGAGACCTGTTGGAGACTTCAGCAGGGCTCCCAGGGACCCCTGTTCTAGAAGTCAACCTGAGCCCTGCCCCCTCATCAGTGCGCTGAGTGAGGACCACCTTCCTGTGTTCCATTTGCCTGACTTCCCACTGCTAGTTCCTCAGTGTATGAGGGCTAGGCTGGGTGCCTTTGGCCCAGCCTGGTTTTCAGGTCAGCATGGCTTGAATCATATTGGCTCGGGGGACCCACATGGCCCAGCTCCTCACAGTGCCTCAGAAATGGGGAGAACTGGGGCCTGCCAGAGAGGGCTGGGCTGGCCCTCAGACAAATGAGCCCATCAGCATTCTGCACACAGCCTCACGTACACAAGTAATTGGAGAGGCGAGTGTTTGGGGGAGTTGGAGGGGCAGATCAATCTGACTCACTTTGGCACTAAGCAGGGGTCGATGCCCAGTGTGTGCCTGTGCTACTCTGGAGACAGAGATGCTTAAGCCCACAGGGCGGGTCTGGTGAGAGGCCTATCTAAGACTGCATTAGCGCTGCAGGGGGCCTTGGTTGGAAATGTCTCCAATCCATCCATGTTCAAGTTCTTGGCTTGTGAGTTCAGCTTTGCAACTATTTCTTCTTTCATCTGCAGAGGAGTTGCCCCTCTTTTGTCTTGGCTGGACCAAGGGGCAAGGGCAGAATTCATGTGTTAGCCCTGTTTGGCTAGCCCATGCTTCCTGCTGTTTCTTGGGCTATCCCACTAACAGGCCAAGCTGAGCTACATTGTGTTCCCCAGTGATTACTCCTTTTCTTGGAGACCATAAAAGATGGTAGTGCAGCACTGGTATTCCCATGACCCAGCCTGTTCAGCTCTAGATTTGCTGTGTCCATCAGCGGCCCATTGTGCCTGCTTCTTTCCATCTCAAATGTGTGACAGGGGCTTTAGTGAGTGCCTGTGCTTTGGATTGGCTGGCCCCTCACATTGGCTCCTTGTGTTCAGGTGGCAGCAGCAAGCCATGGGGCTTTCTTGAAGTCTGAGCCAAAAGCTACTGTGGCAACAACTGCACAGTCCAGTCACCCTGCATGTTGGCCTCAGTATTGGAGGCTTGTAGGGAAATGTGGACCAGGCTTCCTGTGTGGGAAGGCCATTGCTCCCTGCACTCCCTGTGCTGCATGTTCCTGAGGCCCTGGCTGCTCACCTCCTCCTGAGGGCCAGTATCTCTCTCTCCGGGAAACTCTGGGAGCTGGCCCATTGTTGAGGAGGACCCTGTTAGGTGGCTGTTTAGAAATATTGCCTCTCTGTTACTGTCTTCCAGTTCAGCTCAGTAAAAGTTGAGATTTGTCTCCAAAGGGCAAATAAGGGTAGCAACTGCAAGTAGCCCTGCCCCTTCTTCAGGACCCTGGATGAGTGTTCTCCCTACCCCACCCCTGTACAGTAGTGGAGAGGGGCATGGGGGAGGAGTTGGAAGTCCCGGGAGCCCAACTGGGGGCAGCGATAGTCACTGTTTAGTTGTGTCTGCGAATGGGCATGGAGCTGCCCTGAATGTGGACTCTCAGACTTTCCTGTGCCCTCTCAAGAGTGTGTTCAGGGTTCTCCAAGTGAAGGGCACTCTGCGGTGGAACAGGCAGATCTCATCTGGCAGGAAGGAGGGTGATGGTTATCTGCCACAGGCTCAGCAAAGGTCCTAGACACCCACCCTTTGGTGGAGCGTCAGAGCCCATGCTGAAGTGCCCCCGGAGATGCTGGGACTTGGAGCAGTGCTGTGTCTACCCTCCTCCAGCAGAGGGGATAAAGGGCCCAAGGCATCTGGTCCCTACCTGCCTGAGCCTTACGGCCTGGAAGCAGCTCTAGGGAGGGCACCCATCAGGCGCTCTTCATAGGTTGTTTACTCACTGACCCTACTGAGGACCTCCTGTATACCCAGCACCAGGCACTGGGGCTCATCCAACTCATCTGGTCTAATGGAAAAATGAACTTTAAATTGCTGGAATAATTGCTTAGTACTGAGGGCTAAGAGGGAGTCTGAGCAAGTGTCCTTTATCCTAAGAACCTAAGGATTCACCCAGGTAAAGACAGGTTGTGCAGGCTGAGCCCCTGAGATGGACAGCTGCCTGGTGTTATGGCTGAGATGCGGCAGCCATGAGAGTATGTGTGGCAGAGCAGGCTTTGTGCTGTTCCTCCCTGGAAACAGAATGTACTAACATGAGGCTGGTGCAGAGCACTGCCAGGAGCCCCTGCGTGCTTAGAGAGGTCGTGCAGACGGTAGAGTGTCCCTAAGCAGGGTCTGGTCCCTGGCTGGTCTGCAGGAACCCCCTTTCCTCACAGCAGATGGAGAAATCCAGTTTCTTTCAATTGTTTCCTTTTCTTCCCATGGCTGGGAGGCTGATGCTTAGTGTTGGGCCTGCTGTGGTTGCCCACCACCACTTTGTCAGTTGAAGGGAGGGTAGACCTTCTCTTTAAGGGCTAGGAAGTTCACCTCTAAGTGGCCTGGACAATTCCAGGGATTAGAGCTTGAGTGTGGCTTTTGGAGCCTGTCAAGGCCTGCTGGGAACAGGACTTCTAAAAGGACAAATATGTCTGAAAGGCTGTGGTCCAAGGCCATTTTTGCTGGCTGTAAGTGGGGTCTTCAGAACAAGAGGGGACACACAGCTCTTCTTAAAATTAAAGGTGTTTATACTTGAGATGAAACTGAATTCTCTCTAGGCAAGAGATGTGCTATGTGTACAAGAAATAACAACACAGTGACTCCTGGTGGCAAACAGAACAAAACCAGCGTATCTGGGGAACGATAACTCATGCTCATGGAAACAGTGGCATGGTTCATGCCAGATATCAAAGCAGCCTACCTGCTAAGGACATTGGACACAGAATCCATGTAATGCTGCATGCCTCAAGGATTTAAACATATTGAAAACGAAATAAATAAAAGTGGACTTGTTCTCGAAAAAAAAATGAAAGAGTCTGGCTCAGGATATGGAGGAAGGTTTGGGTCTTTCTCTTTAAATCCCCCTGAGTTATAGTGGTTCTGGACTAGGGTGTGGGGGCTCTTGACAGGGGCCACCTCCCTGAGCCAGGCTTTGAGTCCAGGGACCCTTAGAAGTTTGCTCTCTGGGGAGGGGGAAGATCCTTCTCCTTGGAAGGGAGGCCCAGAATGTTCTTCGTGGGAGGAACCAGGCAGTGAGGGGAGAATGCATACACTGACAGGTCTGAATGCTGTGGTGGTGGCATTGTTGGGATGGAGAAGGCAGTGTTGAGTGCTCTCACTCTAATGCTTGTCCTTGGCCTCTAGCCTTGGCCCAGTGTATCCAACCTGGCCAAAGACTTCATTGACCGCCTGCTGACAGTGGACCCTGGCGCCCGTATGACTGCACTGCAGGCCCTGAGGCACCCGTGGGTGGTGAGCATGGCAGCCTCTTCGTCCATGAAGAATCTGCACCGCTCCATCTCCCAGAACCTCCTCAAACGCGCCTCTTCACGCTGCCAGAGCACCAAATCTGCCCAGTCTACACGTTCTAGCCGCTCTACACGCTCCAACAAGTCACGCCGTGTGCGAGAGCGGGAGTTGCGGGAGCTCAACCTGCGCTACCAGCAGCAGTACAATGGCTGAGCTGCCTGCCAGTGGTAGAGACATGGCATGGTTCCAGCCTGTCACACACTGCTGTGTCATCTGGGCCCTGTGCCCTCTCCGGTGATAGGCCTGTATGGCCAGTGGGAGGTGAATGGTCCCAGCCCCTTCTCTGTGCCTTCAGCAGTCCCCATCCTCACCTGGGCCTAGTGTGACAGAATGGAACTGGGAGCCCCCTGAACTTGGAGCCTGGCCTGGCACTGATGTTCCTTTTGGTGGGTAGTTGCTATAGTACAAGTTGGGGAAAGGGTAAGACCCGGCCTTCAGTCTCCTTCACCCCTTACCCTTGGCTCTTCCTCAGACCAAAAGGGCATGCAGTGTCAGGTAGAGGGTGTCGTTGGGACAGTTATTTCTGGAACACCCCCCTTTCCTCTACCTACCTTCCTGCCCAGCCCCCCACATTCCATGGCATTCTGATCTTCATGATTATACCCCAGTGAGAGGTCCAGGTAGGCACAAAGCCTGTGACTTGGCTGGACTCTCAGCCCCTGGGTAAGTATAAACAGCCCCCCACCTCCCAGCCAAGGTCAGTCTTCCTTCATGGAGACTCCAAGAACCACTCCTGGCCCTAGGACTTGTCAGGATCTCTGGTGGTAGGGCCATGGCATGGAACTTGGTCCTTCTGGACTATGTGGCCCTATTGGTAGCAGGCTTGCTCTAGGCTCCAACCTCTCTGACTGTGCCTCCTTTGCAGAGCCGACCATTATCTCCCTCTCCCCTTTGGATGCATAGTCTATTCTCCAGGTGCCTCCTTCCCAACTGTGGGACATTAAAGGGAGCCCCACTGCTGCTACCTGGGTGATGGAGGCACCTGGGCCAAGGCAGAGGGCAGGGGCTTCCTAGGGAGAGCCCCATCAGGGCTCCAGTGCCAGCCCTGGTTCCACTTCCCATTGCCCTTTTCCTTTAGGCTCTGCTATTCCCTCCTCTGCAGCTGCATGAAGGCGCCATCTAGTGTCTGGCATGAGTATAGGCAGCCTAGGAATGACCATGTTCACCCTTCAGCCTTCAAGAGGAAGGAGCTGTTGCATTGAGGAGGGTCTCTGGGCTGCTCTACACTCCCCTTCTGCTGAGCTTCTGCGCAGCTCCCCCTGGAACTTAGCCAAACTGTGTGATCTGCCTCTGAACCCTGAGCACCTGGGGCACTGGCCTTCTCACAGCTGGCCTTGCCCAGTGCAGCCTGTCCTCGCTTCCTTTCACAGCATTACCTTTCCAGTCTGAGCCCCACTGAATCTCAGGTTGGAGGGAGCCCCTGCGGGAGGTGAGTGGAATTAGGTGGCTGCTTTCCTAGACGCCTGAGCCAGACCATTCCCGTGTCAGTCATTGTGCCTTCCCCCACCACAAACTGGGCTGGAACCCAAGCCCCCTCCATGCACAGCTGCTTTCAGTGTGTAGGGCCCAGCCTTAGCCTTAGCTAGACTGCAGGGCCCCTGCCAACAGGGAGGGTTTGGCCCTCACTCAGTTCCTCCCAGTGGTAGCCACGGGCCAGGCCCTCCTCTTTCTGCATGTGCCACCTCCAGTGGAATACCAAGCCAAAGAGATCACTCTGGGCCAAGTCGATTGTGCCTTATACACCCCCTCCTTCTGCCTCCAGTGCCCCTGGTTCAAGGCAGCGGAGAGCCCAAGCCCCATGGCCTCAGAACTCCCCTGACTTTCCCGAGTGCCTCTGGGGGCCTGAAGCCCTGGGGAATTATATTTCCTCTTTTGCCCAGGATAGGCCTGGTCCTGAAGGTAGGACAGGAGTTTGGAGACGGGCCTTCATGCCATGGACTGTGGGTGGAGAATGTGCAGTTATTTATTTTGTGTACTCAATTTGTAAATGTATCCTCTGTACTCAATAAACAGGCTGCCCTCCTCAGGGAAGGCTGCCCATTCCAACAGCCCAGGCTCCTTTCTGTGGACCAAGGGGTCACCCAGGAGGAGGGACAGGGGGGCCCAGTCTGGGAAAATCCTGATCTCTCAACACTTGCCATGCCGAAAGACCACGTGGGGATAGACCTCTCCCCACCCCCAGCCAGGAGGACAGACGAGATAACACAAGAGAACAGAGTTTGGGGTCTTTATTGGATTAAAGGGAAGTGGCCTGTGGGTAGGCTCAGTTTTGGGCTGTGACCTGGTTGATCCAGGTGCTGAACTTGCTCACCCGAGTATACATGGCAGGTGCGCGCACATTGCAGTTGCTGGTGCCCCAGGAGACAATGCCTGTAAGCACCCATGTGTTCCCCTTCTGGCAGACAAGAGGGCCTCCGGAGTCACCCTGAGGGAAGGAGAGGGGAGAAGTCAGCATAGGAGGTGGCGGGGGGGTTGGGGGGCGTGTGTGTCAAAGGACAGTGCAGAGGACAGGACGGTGCTAGTGCTCACCTGACATGAGGAGGCCCCTGAGCCACCTGCACAGATCATGGAGTCGGTGATACGTGAGCCCCAATACTGCTGGCACTGTCTCACAGTGACCAGCGGCAAGGCCACCTGCTGCAGGCGTGCTGGGGTCACATTGCCTGTGTGCCAGGAGGGGGTGGTTAGGCCCTAAGTGATTTGTCCCCACTCTAGCTCTCCCACCCAGATCTTTGGCCCAAGTTCCTACCTGTGCCACTGAGGCGGCCCCAGCCAGTGGTAACACACGTGATGCCTGTAGGCAACACCTCATTTGGGGAAGCCAGGCAAACTGGTGAGATGCGTGCTGTGTACTTGGCTGGGGAGGCAAGCTTCAGTAGTGTCAGGTCATTGTTGAAGGTGGTGGGGTTCCAATATGGATGTGTGATGGCCTGTGGAGCCAGAAAGGGCCATACAGGATGGGGTGAGCACAGGCCCCCAGAGTTGATGGGTGCTGAGGGGGCTAGGCCAGGGAAGGCCCTGAATTCTTCATCCCCAGAGCCCACACACCTGTACTGCTCACTCTTCCTTCCCAAGTCTGCAACCCAGGGACTCACCCGCGAGATGGACATAACTTGCAAAGGCTCAGAGTTGGATGATCGGTCGTACTCGCCCAGGACAACAACATGACGGCCAGGGCTGCAGTGAGAGTGGGGTTAAGCAGCCACAGGGAGGGCAAAGCAATAAGAGAGGGGCATCTAGAGGAAGGAAGTGGGGAGAGGTGGGCTGGGGTGGGCTGGGGTGGGGTGGAAGCACTCACCTGACATTGCAGTGGGCAGCAGTGACCACCCAGGACGGGCTGATGAGGGAACCACCGCAGAAGTGGAAGCCGTTCTTATCCTGGGGTCAGGGATCAGAAATGGGAGGGGAACTCAGGTTTTGCCTAGGCATGAAGCACCTGGGATCCTGTCCCACCCCCAGGGTGCATGTACCTGCAGGGACACCTGCCAGGGCCAGGAGCCTGGCACTGCATTCTCCCCGTTGACAATTCTCTGGTTGAAGCTCAGTGCCGGTCTGATGGCAGGAATGCCACAGCCTGGCGATTGGGTTGGTGAGGACCTGTTTTCTACACCCCAGCCCACCTCTCCCCCATCCTCTTTCCAGATGCCCTCGGCTTTGCACCCCAGAGGGGTCCAAATCCAGAGGACTCATCACTATCCCTTTTCACCCTGAGCTCCTCCTGGGCCCCTGCACATTTCCAGTCATTCCCACCCAACCAGTCCCCAAGTGCTGTCCACTCTCCATTTCTCCAACCTACTCCCCACCATTCCCCAATTCCGTCCCCACCCTCCAGCCCAGGCCACTTGTCTTCCTGACCCCTAGGATAATATCCTGGCCTCTCTACCCACTCCGTGCTCCATGCAGCCAGAAGGTTCTTCCTAAACTACAATCCATCCTTCACTTCTCAGCTTCCTACACCTTCTCTAGCTCCTGGGCCTGGACTGAACTCCTGTCCACCTCTGCTTCCTCATGGTCTTGGCACATCCTTTTTCCTTTACCCACTCTGTCCACCTGCCTTCCTTCCAGCCAGCCTGGCCCCCTGAGCAGGAAGCCTGAGCTGGTGCTGGAATCCGGGGCTGGTCCAGGCCTACTCACCCCATGAGGAGCCGAGCAGGGTCAGGGTAAGGGTCAGACTGAGCAGCAGCATTGTGGCAGGTGTGAGGCTGAGATGGGCCTGGCTTTATGGATCTCCTTGTCCTTGGGCTACAGTCCCAGGCATGAGGCCAGGCCAGCTGTATGGGCACAGCCCTGTCCCACGCTCTCTTCTGGAGCAAGGTCTCTCTGGGCCAAGGTCCTCAGTCCAGGCCTGGACTTACCAGGAGCCCAGATGTGGGTTTCATACCCCCTCAGTCCCCTAAAACCTGGCCTCTGATTGACTATCTGAACCACTTCACATCCCAAGTGCTGAGCACTGGGTCCTAAGGACTTATGGTTAAATTAGGTCTATGGTGACCACCTGGTGGCCTGGATCAGGGACGTTTCCCAGGCCTATCACGGGCACCAGACTCAGAGAAGCCTGCTCAGCACCCAGGAGTGTTCCTCACTGGTGGAGGGAATGTCCAGCTGTACCAGCAGAGAGCCAGGGTCATGTGGCCAGGCCAGGGGTTCTAGCAAGTTGTGAATCATTCCTCATTTTAGAACAGGAATCAGTTTGCTTACACAGATGGTGACTCTCCCACCAGCACATGGTGTAGTTGGACCCAAACCTTCATCTGTCTGGCTCTGAAGACCACACTCTTTTTTTTCTTTTAATCTTCACCCTTGGATGTTTTTTCCATGATTTTTTGAGAGAGTGGAATAGAGAGGGAGAGACAGAAACACCAATGTGAGAGAGACATTGATTGGTTGCCTACTGCACGCCCCTAACCAGGGCTGGGAGCCAGCAACGGAGGTACGTGCCCTTGACCGGAATCTAACCCAGGAACCTTCAGTCTGCAGGCCAACACTCTATCCACTGAGCCAAACTTGCTAGGGCTGAAGACCACACTCTTAATGATGAGATGATGCCTGGGAAGGGACTGGAGCAAAGGAGGGCAAGGTGTGCACTCTTGGTGACTGCCCAACCTTGTACAGAGGATGCTGGTAGAAGGTAACAGTCATTAAATCTCTGACAACCTCCATGCCTTGGGGATCATGTGAGCAAGCCCTGGTGTCTCACAGCCTGTTTGTTGTCCAGTTTGAACCAAGAGAGAGGAGAGGCCCCTATGTGCAAAGCTGCAGTGGGTAAGTTGGCTGGTCTCCTAGGGGGGGTGAGGGTTTCGACTATTCAAGAGAACAGTTTAAAATGTGAGTTAATGGTTAAACATGGGGATGGATGGATAGATATGTGGTAAAGCAGATAAAATATTAATTGTAAAGTCTGTGGTGGATATATAGTTGTTAGTGTACAATTCTTCAAGTTTTATGTCTTTTTTTTTTTTTTTAAACATATTTTATTGATTTTTAACAGAGAGGAAGGGAGAGAGATAGAGAGTTAGAAACATCGATGAGAGAGAAACATCGATCAGCTGCCTCCTGCACACTCCCTACTGGGTATGTGCCTGCAACCAAGGTACATGCCCTTGACCGGAATCGAACCTGGGACCTTTCAGTCCGCAGGCCGACGCTCTATCCACTGAGCCAAACCGGTTCCGGCAAGTTTTATGTCTTAAAATATTCAAAATAAAATGTTGGGGGGGGGGAGCATAATCAGGGGTCCATAGATGTCCAGCCTAGAGTAGACCCTCCCCAAGAGGTAAGGCAGTTGCAAAGCTCCAATGGAGCTCAGCCATTCTGAGGGCAGGATGCTGCTTCCAGCACTCAGCACCTTGGCCTAGCACACAGTGGGTGCTCTGCAAAGATTTGTTGGATAAATGTGTTGTGTTATATGTCCCCACAAGAGCACTGTAACCCCTGTCAGCCCAGAAACTTGGAGTCAATGTCCCTACTCACAACCCAACTTCATGTTAGCACCTCAGATGTGCCTGGCTTTGGAGGGGTTTCACAGCTAAAGGTGTAACGGGGTGAGGAGTGCTCTGTGAGAACTTGCCCTTGGAATCAGGGAGCAGCTCCTCTATCAGCACTTTATTTTTTTTATTATATATATTAATTTCAGAGAGGAAGGGAGAGGGAGAGACAGACAGAAACATCAATGATGGGAGAGACTCACTGATCGGCCACCTTCTGCTTGCCCCCTACTGAGGATCGACCCCAACCCCTCAGTCCACACTCTATCCACTGAGCCAAACCGGCTAGGGCCTCTATCAGCACTTTTGCCCTCAGTGGCATCCGGTGGGGAAGGGGGCTTGACTGAGAGATGTAGGCTTTGTCCTGGGCTACCAATGAGCCAGGCAAAGGCTCTAAGTGAGGGCAGTACTTGGGGACTTTTGGGTTTTACAACAGTCCCCAATGGACTATAGGGTAAGAGCAAGGTGTAGGAGTGGTAGGCGGACTTCTACGGTGTGGAATCAGGGTGGGGCTTTCCACCTTGAGTTTTTTTGTGTGTTTTTTTCCCCAGAGAGGAAGGGAGAGGGAGAGAAATAGAAACATCAATGAGAGAGAATCACTGATTGGCTGCCTTCTGCACACCCCCTACTGGGGATTGAGACCGGGTATATGCCCTTGACCAGACTTGAACCCGGGACCCTTCAGTCCACAGACCGACACTCTATCCACCGAGCCAAACTAGCTAGGGCTCCACCTTGAGTCTTCAATGCTTGCCAGAGCTGAGGTTCTGGAGGAGGGTAGATGCCTAGGGTGATGAGTTGAAGGACACCTCTTAGACCAGACACTGGAGCCGTAGGAGGGACTGGCTCCTGCAGGGATACCTTAGCCACAGATCCCTGCTAGCTGCTCGTACCCTCTGCCCAAGAACAACATAGCCATCTGTTCAGGTGTCTGTATTTTCTGCATTTATTCCCTGTTGTTCCAAGCTCTAAGCTTCAGCTTACTTCACTCCACTTCCATGGTCTGCACAGTTTCCTCCACCAGCTCCAGGGGCAGTGGCTTCACTGACTCGGACAGGACAGCTGTGGTCCCAGGGGCAAAGTGGTACTGGGTGTGCCTGGGATGGAGGAGAAATGGCCTCTCAATATAGGCCCATCATGTGGCCTGTCCTCTTGCAGCCCCCAACCTTCCCTGCTACAGCCCATCCTCTCCCGTGGTCCCACATCTCCCTTGCTCCCACCTCTCTATGGGCTTTGTGGGTGAGCTCAGTGTTCGCAGCATCTTGGCGCCGGTTCCCGTGATCACACATGCATCCACACTGCCCCCGGAGCCCAGGTCACCCAGGATTCCTGCAGTGATGGCTTCCACCAGCAGCCCCTGTGCGGCCTCCAGCTGTGGCGATGTGTGTGTGAGGTCTGATGGACTCTTCTGGCATTGCCCGCAGGCTACAGCCTGGGGGCTTTGTTAATGGTGAAGCCCAGACCGCTTATCCTTTGCTCACACCCAAACTCCTCTCTCCCCCTCTACCCCATCTCCACTCCAAACTCCCCTTCCCTGGTCTGCTTCCCTCTCCCCCTCCTGTTCCCACTGCCCACTGTCCCCATCTTCACAAACTTCTCTGAGCACTTTCCCGGCTCTGATTCCAGTGGCCTATCCACCCAATCAACGTGTCTTAGCCCCCAATCCACCGGATCTTTCTCTTTCTGGGTCTTACCTCATCCACTTCCATCCCACCCCTAACAAAATGCAGACTCCAGACCCCACCTGCCACTTCCTCCCTCAGCTCCAGTCCTCTCCGAGCTTTGACTTCTCCCGGCAGCCTAACACTTTGGCGCTGACGGTGGTCTGCTGGAAAACAGCACTCCTCTACCCTCACTCCACCGGTCCCCTCGGTCTCCCTTCAGTCGCCGCCTCCTCTGAGAAGCCTTCCCTGACCTCTAGACCAGGCCAGGGTCCCTCTGCGCTCCCCCAGCTCCGGGGTGCACTTCCACCCATGACCACGTAGTGGGGGTCAGGTGTCGCTCACCGTCATGTTCGGCTGGAACCGGTCCTCCAGCACCGCCAGGGCCGCGTCCTGGCCGGAGCCTGCAGGCAGAAGGGGCATCTAAGGTACGCCGGCCGCCCAATGCAGGGCAAACGGGTCCCAGGGGCTGGGGGCGTGGGGACCCGCAGAACCGCTCACCCAGGGCCGTGAAGGGCAGACGGCTGTAGGAGCCGTGGGGGTGGACGCTGTAGAGCTGCGGTCCGGTCACGTCTACGCCGCCCACGACCAGCGAAGCACCGATGTGGCCCTGGTACCTTGGCGCGGAGTGGGCGTGGTCATTCGCAGGCACTGGGACCCAGGCCCCACTCCCTACACTCCTCCTGACCCGAGCCCCGCCTCTTCCGGCGATCGGGCGTCTGACTGACAGCGCTCCTTCCCTTGCCCAACTCCTCAGGCTGGCCTCTTCCGGTAGCCGGGGACCTCGCAGCCCCGCCCCCTCCCCGTACCACCTCCTCAGCCCCGCCCATCCCGGAACGGCCACTCCCCAGGCCCATCTTAGCCCCGCCCTCTGCACCGGAAAAGCTTCTGGCGCAGAAAGCGGGTAACGGTGGCCACGCGGGGCTCGCGGCCCGTGGACAGCGCGTGTAGCTCCATGTTAGACGCCGCCATCCGCGTGGTCATCTCAGCGTCCGCGGCTACTCCAGCCCCACAGCAGCTGAGGGCGAAGGGAGGGTCGGTGTGGGTGGGGCTAGGATTGAGGGGACAGGGGATGGGAACTAGGGGTGCGGTTCTTGTGTGGTAGAACGGGGCTGGGGGTTCTCACTAGATTTTGGGCGCAATGAAGTGGATCTTCTCGCAGTTCTTGTCCGCCACGACCGAATCGTTAGTGGCCCGCGTGTCCGCGCCCAGGATGACCCCGTCCTGGGGAGGGGAAAGGAGGCTGTTGGCCGAGGGCCTGCGCATCCCCGCCCGCCTGGCTAAGCCTCCCGGCCCCAAACCCAGGCTCACTCGGAACACAAGGCCCGCGATGGTGGTCCCGGTCTTGCGGGCATGAGGGGCCCGCAGTTCCGGGAGGGCGCGTTCCAAGGCTGCGTTTCTGGAAAGGGAAGAGAGTGGCCCATGTTTCGGTTTTTCTGGGACCCCCTTCATACCCCCAACTCCGTCCCGGGTGCCCTCAGCTCCCGGGTAAGCCCGGGAATCCAAGCCGCCCACCACTGGCTATCTTCCTCTCACGTGCTCCCACCCCGGTACCCTCCGCCCTTCGCCACCAGGAATACAGGGCCCTCGGGGCTCCCACGACCTGACGGAAGTGCAGGCAGCGCCGGACCAGCCACCCCCCACCTCACCTCTGGCAGTTCTCGAAGGAGAAGCCCCCTCGGGGTTCTAGCTCTGTTTGCAGCATCGTAGGATGGTCAGGGACCGGGTGGTCGCTGGTGAAAGGAGTGGGACCAGCCGGGAGCAAGAAAAGCAGAGGCCTGTTCTCTGCAGGGCTCCGCGTCTGACGCTTCCTGCTTTCGCTTTCACCTTAACTCAGAGGACGCTGGCTTGTCGTGCATCTCTTTCACTTTCACCTCTGGTCCCAAGCAGCTTGGGAAGAGGATGATGCACCTTGCCCGGCTCTCCAGGCTGCTCCTAGGTCCTCCGAACAAAGGGACAAACCCCTTCCTTCTGGCCATTGTTCAGCTCCTCCTCCCCCTTCCAGTCTGAGCCCCTAGTTCTGCCTCTGATCCCAACTCTAACTTCAAGTCCCAGCACGTTAAGGCTGTTGGACCCTTTGCCAGGTCTGTCTGCCTTATCGCAGGCCTCCCAGCAGCATCAGGCATGGCCTTTTGTCCTTAGTTACCCTTCTTTACCCAATTTCTGCCTGTCTTTTACTCCTCCGCCTTCTGCTTGTCTTTTGTTCCTGTTTCCTACCCGGACACCTCAACGTGGAGTCTCAATCATGCTGGTCCTTTCATCTTCCTTATCTCAGGTGCTGTCTTTCCTCTCTCAAGAGGGGTCTGGTGGTTGTCCATCTAGTAGCTTGGCAGCATGCCATGGCCAAGCCTTATTTCACCTCCCAGATGACCCCTTGTCTATCCACATCTTTCACCTAACTACTGCTTAGTCTCAGCTAGTATCCTGTCTCCTGGCTACTGCACTGGCCTCCCTGGCTTCCCCATACTTCCTGGCCCACCTTCCCCTGCAGCTCTACCCTGCATAGAAGGAATCTGGTACACTCTCGCTGGTTAAAGCAAGTGCACACTGCTCTTAGGCTCAAACCCAAGTCTTTTCAGTGGCCCATGTTACCCTTCTCAGACTACTTGCCTCCATTAATAATTCAATCTTCATTAGCTAAATGATCTGATTAGTGGCTGTCACTCCCCCAGAATCTAATCTTTTGTACTTCTGCCACCCACCTGCACTCAAAAGGTCCTGTCTAGAGGTAGTGTCTTGCCTCCCCTTTTGAAAGCTGGGAGGGACAGCTCAGATCTTACCCATCCTAAAACCTTGACTCCATGTACCCCCATCCCACAGCTGTGTGTGCAGCTGACCTGTCTCCATGCCCAGAGCAGAAGCAGGCACAGAGACATGCTGCCTTAAGAGCTCAAGCAGGCGAGCGGGAAGCTATACATCTCAGGATGGCTAGTTCAATTCTAGGTTTTAGCCAAGCTCCTCTTGCCCTATTCTCCACAAGGCACCAGGCCTGCAGCTGCTGATAATGAATCCTGGTGTGTGAACCATAGTCTCCCCCTCAACCCACAACAAACATCTCAAGGCTTACAGCAGCAAAGGATGATCTTTATTCAGGGGGCGGGGTGCCTGAGCTGGCAGCTGTGGGTACAGAGGTGCTATGTCGGTAGGTACCCAGCAGGATGGCATTGATGTGCTCTAGTGTCTGATTGCTGAAGACCATGTTGAGGTGTTCTGTCCCATTCAGAGGCAGCAGGTGCACAGGCTGTGGCTGGAGGCCCTTCCATTGGGCACAGAGCTCACTGCTGCGTGTGGCCACAGTGTCATCGCCATCCTCATGGAGCATGCTCACGGGGTCTGTGTAGGGGAAGCCATGGTCAAAGATGTAGGTATGGGGCGTGGGCAGACCCACGCCATACAGACAATACACTTCTACACCAGGTGCTGGGAGTCCTGCCAGCAGGCTACGTGACTGTAGCCACATGTACCAGCCGTCTTCAAAGTACAGGTCTTCAAAGAAGCGCTGGAAGTCACGGCCTGTGTAGTTGAAGCTGGGTGTGGAAATGAACACATGGTCCTCAGGCCATACCCGGTAGTCGGGAAACATCCAGGGGGACGTTGTTGTTATGCGCTGCTTCTGTTTCAGCCTGATGCTGGACATTATCGGGATGCCCTGGTTGTCACCTGTGGACATGGAGCAAGGTGGGCAGGGAGGCAGAAATGGCTGCCCCTGGCCTACATCTTGCTGCCCAGCTCAAGCTCAGCTGGATGCTCATTTTTTTCCCAGCCTAATCTAAACATTGACCCCAAGCCAGACTAGAGCAAGGCTAGCAGCATTCAGTAGGTACTTAATGTGTGCTTATCCTATATAGTAAAAGGCTAATATTAATATGCAAACAGGCCGGACAACTGAACAACTGGTCGCTATGATGTGTGCTGACCACCAGGGGGCATGCATGGAACATGGCAGGCATTGGCAGCAGGTGGCAGAGCGCAGAACATGGCGGGCGTCCGCCGTGGCGGAATGGTGGAGCAGGTGACCGTGGGCGCCAGACCAAGGCGGGGCACAGGTTGCTGTCATGGGGCGAGCCTCTGGTGGTTACTGAAAATTCTTTGCTCCCATGTGCCTCAGTCCCACTCAGCACTCGCACCCACTGCTGGCGCCCAGCGCTGGCCCCGATCACCCCTGAGAGCTTCTCCACCAGCCCTGCTCCTGAGTGGCGACTGCCATCAGTGGGTGCAAGCGGGTGCAAGCGGGGCCAGCGCTGTCAGTGCATTGGAGCTGCGATAGCAGGAGCAGGGCTGCAGGCGGAAGGAACAGGGGAGGGGGGGAAGGGGCGAGGTGGGAGGGGCGGAGGATGCACTGAGACCCGCCCCTGTGCCCACCACAGCCTCGCAGCTCACAGTTCCTTTCAAGGTGCATGAATTCGTGCACTGGACCCCTAATTAAATAAGCCCGGATACTGCTGTGAGGCAGAGCTGTAAGGCCTCAAAGGAGGACAGGGGGTGTTTTCCTGAGGATGGATGTGTATGTGTCAAAGGTGGGGGATAATGCTAGCAGTTCTCAGTCAAGTATCTGTTGGCCCTGTAGTCTATGCTGCACAGGGGTCAGGTGACACAAGGGTGACACAAGACTGTGTCTGTGTTTGACACTAACTAATGTAGTCTGAAGAGGGTTTTCCTTCCTTCCCCTACAGGGAAGACTGAGTTTGGCTGGGCCCAGCAGACAGTGGGTGTACAACAGGTGGTAGCTATGCCACTCCCCAGGGAAGGGCAGGAGGGGCTCCTAGGGTCTGGCCCTGGCTTTGGCAAATCTGTCTTCAGTAGGGCATATCCCTGGGCAAAGGAGCTCCTGGAAGCAGAGGCAGCAGAAAGCTGGGTGGGTAGGACCTGAGACTACAGGAACAAACCTGGGATAGTGAGCCAGACTTGCTTGGGTTCATTTTCTGTTAAACTCTCACTTTTTCATCACTAATACAGATTTTGGCAGGAGCCACTCTAATGGTCCAGGCCAGGATCACTACTCTTGGGGGGCCAATGACAAGGGCCATGCCCCATGGGTGGTAGACCACACCCCCAACCTGGCATTGTGAGCACAGGCCCCCGGTCAGCTTTTATTCCATCCCTCAATCCCACCACAGGATGCAGGTGAACTCACCTGAGGCCAAGACCAGCATGGGCTTGATGGAGCCACCCCAGGGAGCACCAAGAGAGATGAAGCCATCAATGAAGCGATCCTTCCAAGACTGGGGTTGGCGCAGCAAGAAATAGAGCAGGTGCAGGCAGCCAAGACTGTGCCCAATGAGGAAGACAGGCTTTCCATAAGTAGCATACATCTCTTCCACCAGCCCAGAGAGCTTCTGGTGGTACTCCTCCTGCTGGTCTGTGGAGGGAGGAGGGTGAATTCGGTCAGGGCAGTGGGCGTTAGGGGCCACCGGCCCTGCCACGAGCCCATCATCTGCAGAGACACTCACTGGGCTCCAGGCGCCAGTCATAGGGGGCAGCCCGCACTGTCTCATCCCGCACGTAGCCATTGTTGACCAGATTCTGCACCAGGGTGTTCATGTAACCTGTGGGGGAGGCAGCAGCACTGGGGCTCTAGCCATGGTTCCTACAGGCCCACCGCAGCCTGGAGCCCCACCCTTTCCCCCTGCCACACACCTGCCAGCTTGTTTTTGTCCAGGTACTCAACAGAGTAGGTCTTGCCAAAGCCAGGGACACGGATCTGTACACCGGGGGCATTGGACACACGCCCAGAGCTGCGGTTGTAGACAACCCTGCGGACAATGGGAGAGTCAGCAGGTCAGCCACCAAGAGGCGGGGGGAGGGGGCTGGGCTGGGGCGGAGAGGATGGCCCGTACCTGGTGTTATCGATCCAGCAGTCTACTCCAAGGGGTAGGAACATAGTGATATCCAGAAAGATGGTGAAGAAGTCCTCTGTTTTGCGGTAGCACATCCAGTTCACCACATCTGGTTTATCCAGTTTGGCTTCCAGCTGATTCCCCAGGCAGCCAGGCACTGCGGGCACTAGCCTTCACTCTGGGTTCCTCGGATTTCCCCCGTGATTCCCATCCCAGCCTCACACCCACCCTCCACCACTGCAGTGGCCAGCCTACATTTCCCACACCCTCAACTCCCAGGGACGAAGGACACAACCCTCTTTGTAATCATTCTCCTACCTATCCCCCCAGCAGTGCAAAGGCCAGGCTCCCCTTAGGCAGGAAAAGGGCAGAGGCCAGGGCCACTGACCTCTGCCCTCGCAAAGCAAACACCTAGCCTGGCTTTCCATTACTGCTGAAGTCCAAGGTGAGAACAAATAGGTATGGGGATGTGGGGGCTGGGCCTGGGAATAGGGGGACAGGCCTTGATGGGCCTTTCCTGCTCTCCTGAGCTGAGCATCTTGTCCTTGCTGGGGTGAGGGCTGAGGAAGGAGCGGTGGGGCTTAGCCCAAGGTCCAATGGCTGCAGCTAATACCCTGGCCAAGCCCTCAGGCACACACACCCACCCCCCCACTCCACCCAGCTGGGGTAGATAACTTAGAGACACAGGAACAGTGTGGTGGAGGGAAAGGGTTGACTTCTCTGCAGGTCAAGCCTTTGGCCCCTCTGACCACTGAGGTAGGTATCAGGGCTAATACAAGGGCAGAGGGCCTTGGCAGGGTTGACTACCTGGGGCTGAGGCCCGGGCTCCCCAGGGTCTGGCCTGGTGCATCAGGGGCCTGGTGGGGGCTTACCGAGGATGATGGGCCGTGTGTGGTTACTGAGCTCAGCCTTGGGCGTGGTTTGCGGGGGGAACAGCACATTGAGGAGCCAGAAGGAGGCGGCAGGGGGGAATAGCAGCCCCAACAGCAACACCCACTGCCATGGGGAACCAGGCAGCCCCATTCCAGCCCTAGTGCCTACTGCCCAGTGAAGCAGTCTTGGGCTGGCCTTAACTGGAGTGGCGGTGGGAGGGGCCCCAGGGCCAGTGGGAGGGACAGTCTAGCCAATGACTATGGCCAGAGGTTGTGGGGAAAGGGGCACAGCCTTGGAGCTGGAGCAGGCTCTGGGCCTGGGTTCAGTTCCGCCTTTTTCCCTTGGCGCCAGGGGAAACAGAGCTCGGGCAGCAGGAGGCCCAGAAGTACACAATGTTTTATTGAAAAAAGTCAGGCTTCAGCTGGCTGGCTCCATTACGCTCAGCTTGGTGGGGGTCCCTGCCCACAGTAATCTGAGCCAGGTCTTCCTGCAGGCGGGCTGGGTAGGACCCCCTCCCTCATCACCCCTCCCCTTCCCTCTGATGGTGACATCCCAACAATAAATATTCAATAAATAGCGTTCCTGGGCTGGCTGCCTTCAAACCCAATGTCAGCCTCCCCCAGTCTTCTCCAGGCCTCCCAGGATGCTGATCGGGGGGCCGGGGGAGGGGGGAGTCCTTTAACCTCTTAGGGTCCTGTAGGACCCTGGATCCCTCTCCATGGCCAGGCCCAGGCCCAATCTCCAAAGCTGGGTCTAGGGCAGGGCCAGGCAAAGCAGGACTGGCAGATGGGTGCTAGAGCGGGCGTTACCCTGAACACCCCCACTCTAGGCCACAGTCTCTATCGGGCTCAGGAGTAGATGGTGATGACTTCACGGCCACCGCCACGAACCAACAGCACCCGCTCAAGGCCCTCAGTCAGCACCTCCAGGAACTCCATGTCTATAGGTCATCAGGTCAAAGAAACAGCACCAGGACCAAGGGTACCCAGGAAGTCTGGGCATCAATCAGAACTGGGGTGACTTGGAACACTCCCCCGGAAGCACCCAGCGTAACCTCGCAGGCTGTCCACCTCCTCACTGCTGGCCTCTCCACAAAAGGATACAGTTTTCATCCCCCTCACTGTTCTTGGGTGGGCCGGGCATGTTCAGCAGGACCAGGCGGGCATCGTGGGAGCGTGTGACGATGACTTCATTGAGCTTCACGGCAGTGTGCATGCGCCGCACATTGGACTGGTCCCTGCAGGTAATGCAGCTGATCATGGGCCCTACCCACAGAGCCTGTCCACCCTTCACGCCGGGCCCCCATGTGGCTGGGTCTATTTTTGTGGCACTCACGGCTTAATATGCACCAGTTCTCGGAAGTTGTCAGGGGCATGGCTGGGGTCCCAGGGCTCAGCTGCCATGTACTTATCCCGTGTCCATGTCATCTGGATCTTGTCAGTCCCAGCTGCAGACTCATCCTCCTCATCAGAGTACAGGCTCTCCAGCCTTAGGGCTGAGTGCCGGTCCTTGACCAGCTGGGCCTGAAGAAAAGTAGAGAGGAGGTAGGCTCAGTGGCAGGGAAAAGAGGACCTGGCTGCAGGGACTTGGGCACCGACATTCCGACGCCTCCGTCTGATGGTGTCTCCAAAGGCCTGACCCAGCCACCTGCCCACGCCCTGAACCAGGCCACTGACTTCTCGCTCGCGCTCGGTCTTGGTCAGCCTCATCTGCCGCAGCATCTGGGACCGCTGCTCCATCATCAGTGTCCGCTCGTAGGTATACGCGGAGATGTCGCTGTTGTGCTGGGGAGAGGGTGGGCCATGAGAACTGGGCTGTGCGGGGCAGGGTATCTACAGGGCCACATCGGGGTGGGTGGCTCACCATCTCCACCACCTCCACCTCTGCCTCAAGGCGTAGGTGGTACAGGAAGACGGCCAGATCCTTCTTCATCTGGATGCTATTGTCATCCATCTGGGCCACGGTGAAGATGCGCATCCGGCACTTTCTCCAAACCTATGGCAACGGAGCCGTTGGGTGTTTCAGTCACACCCCACCAATCCAAGGGCCCAGCCCCCTCACCGGGTGCACCCCCCTGGCGTACCTTGTGCTGGCGCAGCAGGAAGGGTAAGAGCATCAGCATGCCGCCATCATGCACGATCCACCACACGTCAATGTGGCCCTCCAGGTAGCGCTCGTGGTTGCTGGGGTAGAAGGCAATGTTCTTGGGCACAAGCAGGGCCAGGTGGGCAGCTGTGGTGCAGCGCACGGTGTCTGGGGAGGAGGGACACTGTTGACTGCCAGCCTGCAGCCCTGCTTTCACTTGAGCCCCGGCCCCCGTCCCCATGGCTGAGCCCAGATCCTGGCCCCTTACGCACCAATGAAGGTCTTCCAGGCACGTGGGTCCTCGCTCTGTCGCCAGCCATAGGGCCAGCCCAGCACCACGGAGTTATGCCTCATGCCGCCCAGGCCGCAAGACTGGATGAGGTGGGCCAGTCCCTCGCGCACCTTGTTGGCTACCACCACCTGGCAGAAGCCCTTTACCTTCTCAATCTCCATCATGTTCTTGATTGTCTGGGGGGAACACACCACGCTCAGAAGTCAAGGCCATCAGCATCCCCTCTGCTGGGGGCGGGGAAGGGGAGGAGGCAAGCTGCCCACCCAGAGGCCATGTTTTTAAGATGGGACAGCCACCCTTGCTTCAGCTCTTAGGTGGCAGCACTGCTGTCCACCTGGCTGGCCAGAATTGGTCCCCTCCCCTATGTGCCAGCTGTAGCCTGGGCACTGGAGTCTGGTTCAGCTCTGTGCCCCCTGCAGCAGGCACCTGCTCAGCAGCCTGGGCCTCGCCATAGCTCTCCAAGAAGCTTCCCTGGATGACAGAACCAACGATGGTCAGGCCCTTGCCGGCCTTCAGCTGAGAGGCGAAGGTGAGGAGCCGTGGGTACTTCACGTGAAGGTCCTCGTCCAGCTTCAGGAGCACCAGCAGCTGAGGCCTGCAGGAGCCAGATAGTGAGGCAGCCTGAGGCCAGGGCAGAGGTTTCCAAGGAGCCACTTTTCTTCTTTCCCTCTCAATTCACAGGCTCCCACAGGTTTGGGGAGCAGAGATCCAAGGGCACCCCTGGCCACCCCAGGATGGGGAACATGGATCAGGAAGGGGAGCCAGCACCTCTCGACTGTCCCACCCTCAGAGTGCCCCCTGAGAACCTAGAGTGGCCTTTGCCAGTCTGGGTGTGAACTCACCGCCAGTTCTTGGTGTGAGGAGGCCCCTCCTCTAGCCGCAACAGTGCATAGCGGGCAGCACTCAGGGACAGACCGCGGATCCCGTCACCCCATTCCTTCTCAGCCCTACAGAGGCCACCGTCAGTTGGTGAGCCTCTGGTCCCACTCAGGGGACTCTGTCCAGGTGTAGTGAGATGGAAGGGGGCCAGGCCCTGAATCAAAGCCCTCCAACCTCCCAGCACCGCACCTATGGTGGCTAGTGGATGGCTCAGCTTCCCCCAACCCAACATACAGATCACCCGCCTGCCCCGGCCAGGTGGCAACCCCTCACTCACCCTTGGTACTCAATGTACTTGTAGATCATGCCCGCAATGAGCATGGCGACCAGGGCATAGTACCAGGAGGAAACAAACATAAGGGTCAGGCAGAGGCTCATGCCCAGGAAAGACAATGCCCTGGGCCAGAGAGTGGGGAAGAACAAGAATCAGGGAAAAACCAGTATGATCCCAGACCAAGCTCCCCAGCCCCCCAATTTCTCACCAATAGCAACTACAGCCCAGGAAACTCAAACCCCATCCTGACTGGGTCTCCTGGCTTCCCCATAGCACTTATGTCAGAGAGCTTGGTCCAGTTGGTGCTCACCAGTGATAGTACTTGAACCGGGGTCGCCAGTTGGGGGTCCTCAGGAGCGTCTGCACGGCACAGGCCAAGTTCACAAACAGGTAACACATCAGAAAGAACCTGCACCACAGGGGCTGGTTGGTACAGAGGCCTCCTTGGCAGCCAGGTACCTGATGTCCCTGCCATGCCTGGGCTGAGCCAGGTGTTTACAGCCTCACAGCACCCATTCCCATGCCCGAGGCAGATGGGGCTACTGCACCGGTGTCCTCAGAGCCAGGACTTAGGCAGGGGTGAGGGACCTTTTTTTCTGCCAAGGGCCATTTGAATGTAACATCATCCGCTTACTATTATTCACTTAATATAACTTATGTTGCTATGAGAAAAGCTCCTAGATTTATTGAACTTTGAGTCCCACCTGCGGTTGCCTTGGCAAATGATTTCACTGCCAAATGATTTTGCAGGCCTTCTACGGCCCACGGGCCAGACGTTCCCCACCCCTGGCTTAGAGGACAGGCAACTATTCACAGGCAGAGGAGGCAGGGGAAGAGCGAGTGTAGAGCTGTGAGAAAGGATGGGACCTAGGAGAGCTCAGTGTCTGGAGATGGAGGGGCCACACAATTTTCAGGCCCCTGGCCTGGTGACCTCTTGGATTAGGGGCTATCATGAATGTGGGGAGGAGAAGGTAGGGAGAAGATAATGAGGGCCATTTTGAAGACACTGAATTAGAGACACTTGAGGAAACTGTAGGAATGAAGGAGACTGGGACATGGGCGAGGCCTGTTGTGTGAACCCTCTGGGAAGAGAGCTGAGGAGCAGAGGGCTGACGGGAGGGGTGCCACATTCTACCCTCAGCTGGCTGGAGAAGGACAGACAAAAAGACAGAAGGACTGGGACTCCCATGAAGAGGGGTTGTCAGTCCCAGCAGGGCTGCCCCAAAGAGCCCCATGATAAAGACTGAGCTATGCCCTGACCAGTTTGGCTCAGTGGATGGAGCATCATCCTGTGGACCAAAGGGTCCCAGGTTTGATTCCAGTCAAGGGCACATACCTCAGTTGCAGGCTCCTCCCCAGCCTGGGCCCTAGACAGGGTGCATGCAGGAGACAACCAATTGATGTGTTTCTCTCACATCGATATTTCTCTCTCTTTCCCTCTCTCTAAAAATCAATGGAAAAATATCTTCGGGTGAGGATTAAAAAATAATAAAGACTGAGCTATATCCTCTGGCTTAGGGAGTGAGGGGTCACCACCCAAGACGACTGTGGCAAGAACAGAGTCAGTGTGCACTATACGTGTGGGTGAAGCTGGGCAGTAGTGGGTGGAGGTGTGTTGGGGGGAGACGAGAGGTCACTGTGGCCTAGCTGTGGCTGGGAGGTGGCTGCGTCGGGGGGGAAGGGGGCCTGTCAGGCCTAC